ATCCAGACGATGAATTTTCTCTTCAGAAATACTTTTAATAGCAATGAATTGTTTTAATCTTTCAATATATTTGTCTTTTCGATCATCAATGGTATAATATAATTTTAATAATTTTCTGTCCATTTATACCTATCTACAATGAAATTATTATTATCATTATTATTAACAATAATAAAAATGGAAACATAGGAATAACAAGACGGGATAAGGTTTCAGGAGCCGTTATCATGAAGAAAAAGGGATTACTTCGAGAAGGTGAATACCATTCTTAATGACAATCTAAAATTCCGAGAAATCTCATCTTCTCTGGATCGGATTGAAAAGAGAGAGAGACAGTTAGCTGAAACACTAAGAAGACTGAAACAACAAGACTTAATCTCATAAAGTTAGTATTATTATTATTGTTCCCTTGAGTTCCTAGTGGAACATAGGGTTTCAACTACACGTCTCCACTTGCTTCTGTCTTCTGCTGTACTTTTCACCTGCATTCATGTTAGTCCATACTGTTTCAACTCCTCTTCACACGATCTCCTCCATGTCACCCTTGCACTGACGTCCCACTCGCCGCTTCCCTTTCGGGTTCCACTCGAGCACTGGCCTGACGAGCGATGTCACCCAGCGGCCTCCTCAGCCAGTGCCTAATCCATCTCCACTTTCTCCTGCATATTTTTTGGGCGATTGGTTCCTGTTTTGTTTGTTCCCATAGTTTCTTGTTGGTGATTCTTTCCGGCCATCTAATCTTCAGTATAGAGCGAAGACAGTTGTTGATAAAGGTCTGCAACAGGCTGTTGGAAATATTCTTTGTGACACACTGGCCAAGTTTCTGATCCGTATAGCAAAACTGACTTGACGTTTGTATATTGGAAATCCGAATTTTGTTGTTGATGCAGGCTGAGTGACGAAGATTTCCAGATTGGTTTCAGGTTGATGAATGTGTTTCTCGCCTTCCCGATTCTCGATTTGACATCCTCGTCCGTTCCTCCTGTGGTTGAGACAATGCTCCCCAGATAAGTGAATGAAGTAACCTCTTTCAAATCCCTCCCGTTGATGGTGATTGGCGCTGGATGTTGCTGCTGTTGTTGTTGGTTGGTTATTTTCATGACCTCCGTCTTGTCTATGTTCACGTGGAGTCCTGTCTTTTCTGCTTCTTCGACCAGTTTGTCGGTTTTCGCTTGTAAGTCTTCGATCATCCGCGAAATCTAGGTCTTCTAGGTTGTTCATGTCGGTCCAGGATATCCCTGTCTTCTCGTTGCCCACTGAAACCCATCAGAACATTCACACCAATATTATATGGTTCACCAAAAGTGCACCAAAATGGTTTACGCCTTCAACCAGTACTGGATATATTAAACTCGGCATACCATCCCATAGCCAAAATGTTGGTCAAACTCCTACAGCCTTTACCTACTGAACTGGTTAAACACAGCGTAAAAGACACCTTTGGATATGTTGAAAGGAAAGAAGATTAAAATGTTGACAATAAATTCATAATATGTTTGGAGGATTTCATCATGAGCTGACATCAGTTAGAGAACCATTGGAAAACACCGTCCTAGTTCGGGACTCTTCATCAGTAGGCACCCGCAGCCAGGAGTTTGAATCCAGGACCTTCTGGTTAAAAGGCAAGCTCGTAGACCGTCAGGCCACTGGAACTCAAAGCAATTGCCAGCCCATGAATTCTAACTTGGTGGTGGGTACGTACTGATGAAGTGTCCCGAACTAGGACGGAGCAAACAGGTGTACATTAGTACCCCAGTGTTTTCCAATGGTTCTCTAACTGATGTCAGCTAATGATGAAATCCTCTAATCTATTCAACAAAATTCCCTACAAATCTAATACTTGAAAATTCATGATATCATTTGACGTATCTTCCTTATTCACCAATACACTACTCTTTTGGAAACAATAAATTTTGGTGCGAAGAACTTATAAGGCGAAACATTTATATCGGCATTCCTATATCTTTTACAGAAGAGCTCCTTTTGAAATGCACAATTAATGTTCACTTTTTATGCAATAAGCAACTATACAGACAAAGTGATGGTGTGGCAATAGGGTCACCACTAGGACACACTCTAGCCGACATTTTTTTTCTTTGCAAAACCTAGAGAATGGGTCTTTGAAAGAAGTGATTGGTAAAGTAGAATTCTACTGTCAGTATAGAGATGATCCATTTTTGATTATGAAAAATGAGGATGAAGCAAAGAACACTCTTGACAAATTTAACGATGTCTTGTCCTTATCTTAACCATCAAGGTTTTATTAAAGAAATTTCCTTAATTTTAATTGATATTATATTTGCTATTAAATGTTTATGCTTATTAAATCTGAAGCATTGTGCGCCAAGCCTACGACTGGAATCCAAATGGGAAGCGATGAGTGGCTCGTCCTAGGGTGACATGGAGGAGATCACGTGAGGAAGAGATAAGAGAGTTTGGATAGTCGTGGATCAAGCTGAAGAGGATGGTAGAAAATAGAAGAAAGTGGGAATGTGTTGTTGAAGCTGTATGTTCCACTTGGAACCCAAAGGAACAATCATAATAATAATGAACTCCCTCGGACTGCAGTTTCACTGATCTCAACAAATCGATATTATTTCAACAAAAACACCAATGTTGTTCACGATGATTATTCTAGAGCCAGAAGAGGAATTTGTCGAAAAGAATATTCTTTGTTCAAATTCACTTTTGTCTTCTAAATGTTTGAATGAATATTTTTTTCTATATAAGCAATAGTAATAAAATTAGTCAAAGAAGGAGTTTCCAGAGTCGTTAAGGATTAACAGCGTAACGTTTATAAGGTAAAAATTTCAAGTAACAGTCACTGACATGAGCATTCACTCACTCCTAACTGTCTCGTAAAAGAACCTAGAACTTTGCATAGGAATTTATAAGTTAAAGTTGTGATAAGAAGAGAACTTGACCATTGTAGTAGAGTATAATCCCATTGAGGGAAATTTCTTTTCATCAAGTGTCACAGTATTATACAGTAATATTAACTAACAATCACATTTCCAGCGCAATTTATCGCTGCTCCTAATCATCTTAGCAAGGAACTGACAAAGCTTTCGGACTTCGATTACACATATAATTCCATTATTTCTCATCTCTTGATTTGATTGGTAATAATATTTTCCATTGAAAATGGACCTCAAGACATCAGCGGATTTGATGACACCGCTACTAGAGAAGTTGTGGAAAGAGGGCAAGGTACCTGTGGATTGGAAGAAAGGCTACTTATTCAAACTGCCAAAGAAAGGGGACTTATGTCAATGGAAGAACTAGCGCGGCATTATGCTCCTGTATATTAAAAGCAAAATACTAAGCCACATCATTCTGGAGAGAATCAAACAAGCCCTCGATGAAAACCTCGACCGGAACAGGCTGGATTGAGGAGGAACAAGTCATGCATCGCAACACTAAGGATTATCATTGAACAGAGCTTGGAATGGCAGTCAGCTCTCTATCTCAACTTCATTGACTTTGAAAAGGCCTTCGACAGCGTCAATAGAGAGGTGATTTGGTAGCTACGGGATGCCGGCAACAATTATACATCTCATTTAACAGTCGTACGACAATGCTACATGCCAAGTAATCCAAAACGGGAAACTCACGGAATCCTTCGAAGTAAAGACAGGAGTAAGACAAGCTGGTTGCTTAATATATCCAATGATTTTCCTGATTGCTGTAGATTGGATAATGCGACAAACAGCGGGCAATGAGGAAACAGGCATAAAATGGACTCACAAGAACTTGGAGGATCTGGACTTCGCCGATGATATATGTCTGTCTGATTTCCCACAAACTGGAAGATATGCAAGTGAAAAGCAACAAGTTGTCAGAAGAAGCATCAAAGATAGGAAGGACTTCAGGTGAACATGAAGAAAACAGAAGTGATGAAGATTCCTGGCCAACAGCCAGAGCAACAACAGCAGACAACACTCAGCCAGCATAAATGGGAGAAATCTGAAAGAAGCCACTTTCTTCTCTTACTTACTTGGGGAGCATCGTTTCAACTACAAGCGGACAGAACTGATAAGGAAATGAATTCGAGGATCATCGGAAAGCAAAGAAAGTTTTCATTTCTTTATAATCTGTGTGGAGGTCAACAGCACTACTCAGCATGAAAAATAAGATCCGGATTTTCAACTGCAATGTGAAGTCAGTCAGTGCTACTATACGGATCAGAGACTTGCACTGCGCGTCATAAAGAGCATCTCAAACAAACTACAGACCTTCATCAACAGCTAGCTGTCTTCGCTCAATACTCAAGATCAGATGGCCGGCCAGAAAAGATCAGCAACAGAGATCTCTGGCAATGAGCGAACCAACCGGGCAGAAACCGATTGTGAAACAAATAGGCAGGAAGAAATGGAGATGGATTGGTCATACTCTGAGGAAACAATGCATCAAGTGACATCACACGCCGGGCCATCGCTCGAGTGGAACCCGAACAGGAAGCAGCTAGGTGGTCTTTCGAGAGTGAAGTGACATGGAGGAGGTGATGTGAAGAGGAGATGAAAGCATGTGGACAGATGCGGATTCGAGTGAAAACGTCGACAGAGAACCGAACGCAATGGAGACGTGCAGCTGAAGCCCTATGTTCCTCTAGGAACTAAAGGAAACAGTAATAATAATATTATTATTTTCCATATTTCTGGAATTAGTGATAAGTCACTGCATCCCATTGCATGTGTTGGGTGTAGATTCGATGAAAAACGATTCCTTAATCAGTCTCTCTCTCCACCTACCTATATTACTTTTTAGAACTATAACTCTCACTCACCCTATTGTGTGACTGTGCGTTAATGCATGCATTGCGATTGATGAATTTTCCTCTAAATGGCTCATCTTTGTGAGGTCAATCATCCCACACTTGAGTAAATTCTTATGTTCCGATGACCCATCTACCCCCAATCTACTGGTCTGACTGACCTATGTAGTTGACCTAACTCACAGTCACGTTCATTTAGAAGAAACTGTGGTGAATTGGCAGCACGCAACGTTGTTGAAAATACATTTTCTTTGGAACAATGCAAACCAGATCAGGGAAGCGAATTTTGGAGCAGCAGTCGGAGAGTCAGCAAGTCCCCGTTTGCATAAATGATCATGTTGATAACCTTTCGTGCCCCGGCTCTCATGTCAGTAGTTCGAAACCATCATTATCGCGAGTAACTAGTGCTAAGTCGTCGCTACTCAGGGCGCAGCTAAAGGAGAAACAGCTTCGAGAGGAGTTAGAGTTAGAGAGAAAGTTGCTAAAGGCTAGACATGATGTCGAAATGGCTGAGCTGCTTGTGAAGTTAGCCGTGGACGACAAACGGAAAATTGAAAATACGAAAAGAGACACTGTCAACTACGCTCGAATCAGCGAAGAGAGTATCAAAGACGACATCAGAAGGCCATATGAAGCTGAGTTTAGGGATACTGAAGAAAACGAACACTCATTTTCTATCGAAGATCCTAAGGCAATCGAGTTGGTTACTCAAAGCACCGTCTTAGAAAAGGGGCATTACATCATTTCCTTGCCATGGAAAGATCCAGCAAAGGTAACGGACAATAATTATGTGGTTGCCATAAATCCGCTACTCAGTCTGAAATGGAGGTTATCGCGTGACAAGAACCTTTCAGCACGATATGTGGATGGTATAAATACGATGTTAAAAAATGGTTATGCCCTTCCGGTACCCATAGAGCAGCTAGCAGCCAACTATCGCCCGAGGTGGTATCTTCCACATCATCCCGTAAAGAAACCGAAAAAGCCAGATAAACTGAGAATAGTTGTAGATTGCGCCGCAACCTTTAGAGGCTATTCTTTGAACGATAAGCTATATGAAGGACCTGATACGATTACCGAGCTTGTTGGTGTTCTGTTGAGCTTTCGAGAAAAGCCTATTGCTGTAGTCGCGGACATAGCTGATATGTTTATGCAAGTGAAAGTGCCACTAAACGATCGACGAGCATTACTATTTCTGTGGTGGAAAAATGGTTTTCTAGACGAAGAGCCGCAGGAGTTTCAGATAACAGCGCATCCGTTCGGGGCTACTTCATCACCCTTCTGTGTGAAATTCGCGTTGAGAAAGGCAGTAGAGGGCTTTGGTTGCTTATATCCGGAAACAGTAAGAGAGCTGGGCACGAGGGTTATACGGTGTAACATGATTCATAAAATCCTTGTCGGATTTTGGGGGCCGGTGTAAGATGAATTCCATTCCCATTCTTAAATCAAGTCAACCTGTCCCGGATCAGCCTAGCATTGTTGCAACACAATTATCCATGCCCAACGTGTCTATCCCACCTTGTTTAATTAACTGTGTATGTGTGTTTTTACTTCTATCCTTTTAGTCAGACAGTTGAACTCATGACCCAATCAGAGTATTTTGTGAACTGTTATTTTGCTGACCCATGTCTTATTTGTACTATTATGTTGAGTTTATCTTATTTATTGATTGGTTAAGTAGCCAATTAAATTCTATCTTTGTGCCTATGCTTTGTTTATCTCTTACTTGGGTTCATTCTTCTACTGACTGCTTACCTGAACGGTCGTGTCTGATCCGGCTAGTTCGTAATTTTGGCTTTAACGTTATTCCGCTCTGATAGCGGTTCTTTGCTTTCTGTTAAGCATTGTGTATTGTACTCTTGAAACCGTTAAGGTTTGTTGTATTTATATTAATTGATTTGTTTATTAATAGTACCGTAGAAACAGTGACCGGCTTCTTGTTTGTTCTGGACCGGGATAGCCTATATCTACGCGTGACTTAATTTCAAGCGATATTGCGCTTACAATAGGTATCACGCCTAATGCTTTCTTTATCGCACAGAACACGAGCTAAGTAGGGTATGGTTGAGTTTGTTGTACTTGCTGGTGCGAATATATAGTTTTCTATATAGGCTTCTGGTTTTTTTGCCTGATGAGATACAAGGGGAGAGTTGTGAGTGAAGAGGGTGGTGTGAGTTAGATAAAATGGATTTGGTCCATTTTTCATATGAGTCCATGTGCCTGTCGACCAGAATATTAACAAGCTGGTTAAGTGGCACGTTGCTTACCCTGCTGACAACCTTTAACATGCTGCGTAATAAGGTATAGTCTTTCTTCAGTAGCCCGGGAAAAACTAAAGGGGAACAATAGAGAATAATAGGCATAATGCAAGAGAGGCTTGCTTGAATACTTACTGATAAGGATTCATCATATTTCTACAGCTGATGCTACACAGGATGATAATCAAATAGTGATGAATAGATAATTGTCGAAAACGAGTAACCCTTGAAGTTGAAACCCTACAGTGTTCACAGTGCTCCTAAGAAAGATATTTACCAAATTACATTTCAATGGGAAAATAAATTATACGATTTTATGGATAGACTAAATTCTGTAACCCTTTATATTAGAGAAAAACAGGTCACTCCCATTAGTAATTATAGACAGCATTATTTCGACACTGAGTTCTTCAAATAAACTCCATCAAATTATCGAAAACAAAGCCAAGAAAACATTCTCTACCACAAGCCTCAACATTGTACAGGTGATTGTGTCACATTATATTTTGTACACCAATTTACAAGTGAGTGTGTGTCACACATACACAGGGAGGAGTAATCACGCTTTGAACATGACAATGAAAGAATTTATCCCCAAATGACTGGAAAAACAATTGAATACAGGTGGCAGATTGCCAACTTCATCTACAGCATCATACTTAATCGATATGTATTACAAGACTGATATCGAAACAGCTTTCAAGATCACTTATAAAGACAGTTAGGTACGCTTTCTGAAATATGCTAAGGCGATAGCTATCCGTAACATTGAGCCTTCCCCGCTCCCAGTGTGTGTACAATAACGATCTACGATTATTAGTAACCTACCTGCGTAGTTCTTATCTCATTATGCTACTGCCAAAAGTAACCAAAACTGAATAAATAATTTCCATAAAACTTATTCAACTGTACAACATTCATAAGCATTCCAGTATTTTCACTAATTTCCATAAAAATATTAAAATATTCCAAGACTAATTGTGAAGTAAATTCTGTTAGAGGATAAGAGAAAGCCAGGGAGTACTGGATAGCTGTTTCATCCTTGTTTGATACTCTTCATCAATCTATGCCCAAAATACTATAGTAGGAATATAATCCAGGACTCTCAGGTTACAGAATCATCTCGCTGACCAACCAGACACGGCGATGGAATCCAATAGTCCGTCAATTCTAACTAATCCGAATTCAAGATATATATATGCTGCGACTCCAAGCCAATATTATCGACGAGTGTTTCTCTTCATGAAAACTCATTTGGGTTATGAGTGCTTGTTGCAGCAGAGTCCCAGACAAGGACGAAACAACTGTCCAGTAGTCGCCCTCTCTCGTTTTCTATAGTTCCTTGAAATCAGTCAAATCCTTACAAATTGAACCTGGAAAACTAAAATATTCATATTATTCCATACGTTAATTTACAGATAATTTATTCGTGACAAATAAAAAAAATATTGTCATTGTTGAGCAAATTAAACTTGAGTAACCATTTGAGATAACTTACATAACATAACAACAGCAGTAGTATATTATTCTAACATGTATATTCACGAGTGTGTAAGATAAGTATAGTTGCCTTCAGTTTTTTTGAATGTATTGATTAATGTTTATATATATATATATATATATATATATATATATATATATAGATGCATATTTCATGTCATAGTCTATTGTAATTTATATAGTGTTGATGGGTGGAAGTTACTTGGATGTGTGTACTTTGTAGATGCAAAATACGGTTCCATGTATTATCAGTTCACTTAAGTAGCAACCAAGAATTCCAGTGGTTTACACTGACTCAGTCTTCTGAGCTGACTTTGATCCTGGGTACACCACTGATAAGTCGGTCTGTAAAAGAGAAATATGTTTGCCGGGTATTTAGATCACTTCAATCTAGCCAGCAAGCACTACTTTTCAAAGGTAGGTAATTACCTACTACTCATATCAATCTCTCAGTAGTATACAGCATCGTCTTGATCCAACAGCTTTCTTGATTTTCAATTATGCATGGTATCAAGTGGACCACATCTTATGATCTGGATATTTTCTTGTGTTCCCATAGGATTCCTCCTCTCAGACTGTGTGATTTGCAAATTGCCAATTCGGTTCATTACATATTACGAATTCACCCAACAAGATGACTAGCCAGAAACCGGGTGGTTTGGAATGAGACACCTCTCTGAGCTGACTCTTATACTCGGGTATCTGGGGATTAAAATTCAAAGTTCCATAAGCTACAACTGATTCCTCTTTTTTACAAGAGGTGAGTCTGTTGCTATATGTGCGTCTAGTGGACAAAGCATAGGCACCCTAAACAATGCCGTGCTGGGTTTATGCCTCACTGGGAAAGGAGTAAGTAAACTGCAAAGCTTTCATTCTCCCCCAACATCCTTAGGGCAAGCTTAAATAGGAATTGCACTTGTTTGAAGTCCCCATGAATGATGACTCATTTGCATCTCCTGAGCACCCCTGTCTTCATTGGTTGTTATTTTACATCTTCATCGGTAATTTTTATTGTCTTCGAATTTGACCTTTCTTGTTGTTTAATTTATTTATTATTAGTTGGTAAATTTGATCGATAGTGATGTCTTTGTTACTCGCTGATTCGTCTGAGTACCAGGCTTCTAGAAATTCCCTGGCATTTTCGGTGTTTCCTCTGCTTGAAATTTCTACACTTTCGCTAATCTAATCAATGTCCATAATTTTTTACATGCATTAGTATGAAAGAATACCTGCCGTATCTATTCACAGCTAATTTATGTCCTTGGATTCTTATTCGCTCACCTTGACCAGTGTAGTGCGTATCAAAGTCCATGGAATTTATTATGAAGGTGGTATTGACTTTGTATTCGTTAATTGTTGAATGAAGTGACTGTGTTGACGTATGTTCTACATCTATTTCAAACTAACACCTGCGTTGATGATGTTCCCTAGAAGGACAACCAAAGCTTCTCAGTTCAATCAACCAGCTTAGAGAATACAACCAGATCAAAATCGTCCACTTGATCTACAAATCTTCTTTAATACTTCAAGGAGTAAACAGAACTGACAGTATCCGAATAGGATTAAATATGCCACCTGGAATCCTCTTCTTGCCATCATTTCCAAAATAACACAAGGGAGATAGATAGCTTAACTTTAGCTCGATTTCCGTCAACAACCCATTTGATTGCTTGGCGCTTTGTGCATTCATTTGAGAGGATGGCAGTAAATACAAATGAAAGTTAGGTCTTCTGGTAAAAGTCATGCTGGTTGCAGTTACAGTCGGTTAGTAGTTCTACAGAACATCAGTCTTGACATGAATAGTTAAATTTTCACTGTTTATTTCTAACCAGATCAAATGAATAGGGCTCTGTTGACATGTATACCACATGTATAGTAGCTTAGTGCTTTACTGCCTTGAACTTCACTTTGGTGTTAATTTTTTGTCGACCATAATCAGCGGTTGAATGTACTTGCATCCAAGTGAGTGACGGGTGTCCCACTGAAGCTTAAAGCTGAGTTCTCATTCTCTTTCAAAGATCAGGTATTATCTCCTTGGACTACCGTTGCTACAATTTGGACTATTCGCTTTTATTTCTTGTAATGCTTTTTTACTTACAGGAGAGAATGCTTTCCTCAGTTGTCTCAGCTGAACTTCAGTAATGAATACCACCATTCGCAAAGTGATTACTCAATCTGACATTTTAGCCAACTAATAATGTTTAACGTCGGACTTTGGAAAATTGGGAAACTGTGGTGCACAAAAGTATCGTGTCATTTATATTATTGAGTATAATTCACAAACGATCAACAGGCTTGACTCGAAACACTTAGGAATAGACAGCTTCATTGTCTGATTGCTTTTAGAGGATGATTTAGCGAGCAGAGAGTCATTTGTGAACACAGTAGCTTAGAATTAATCAGACTTTCCCAGTTTGACAGTTAGTGGGTAATTCAGAAAAAACAAATCATGAAAATGATGAAACATGCCTCACCTCATTGAGGATTGGTCAACTGGACAGATCTGTCTGGCTTACAGCCATTGAGTGGTAATGTTCCCAGCACCCACCTATCGTGTAAAGAACAAGGAGGTGCAGCTGTTAATTACGAAAAATGGACGAAGAGTATGTCTCAGTTTGACTGCTAACGGCTATCAAACTGATACCATCTAGTTAACCTCGAGGCGTCATCTACACACCCCTACTAAGTGGCGATATATGTCAGTGCAGACCAACTATTTCGAGTCAAATAAAATCAATCATCGGGGAGTTCAAAATCATTTCAATGAATGAATAATTTCTGAGATATTCCAATAATTCATTTGAGAGTCAGTCTGTGAATAACCTTCAAGCAACCAGAATGAGAATACAGATGCTGAATCACTCACACAGATATTTAGACTTATTTAAACTTGACACATGCTTGAATGTGACTGCCTAAGTGGTGGATCCATTTTCCACGTTCTCCCTTCCCTTTCTCTCATCTAAAACATAATCAATTGGATCACCTGCGTAATCCATTGTGTAACATATCTCTTTCCTTCTGTCTTTGTAATGCGAATCCTAAGTGGATAAGATTGCAAATCTACTTGTTAACATCGAAGATAGCAGGTAGAATAGCCGTCAAATCCCTACCTCAATTTCATGAACTCCCAAAAGGCCTTCAACAGAGTTGACCGAGAAGTAATTTGGCAACCGCTTCGACAATATGAAGTGCACCAAGTATTCATCAACCTCATTCAACATGTATATAACAGTGTCATTTGTCA